GGTCAGACCCGGTCAGACCCGGTCAGACCCGGTCAGACCCGGTCAGACCCGCTCAAACCCGCTCAGACCCGGTCAGACCCCCACAGACCCGGTCAGACCCGCTCAGACCCGCTCAGACCCCCACAGACCCGCTCAGACCCGCTCAGACCCGCTCAGACCCGGTGAGACCCGCTCAGACCCGGTGAGACCCGGTCAGACCCGGTCAGACCCGGTCCGGGTTGCCCCTTACCTCTGCATAAACGAAGAGGGGCAGGACCAGGACGGCCAGCAGCAGGTCCGCGAACGCCAGGCTCACGATGAAGTAGTTGGTGGTGGTTTTGAGAGCCTTCTCCAGGTACACGCTCACGCACACCAGCGCGTTCCCGCCGATGACCGCCGCGATCAGCAGCACCCCGAAAACCAGCGCGGGCACGTTGTGGTGCGTCACCCCCCCCTCAGAGCCCGTCCCGTTCTCCGACATGCTCCCGGGTCCCGGTCCCGGTCCGGCTGCATGCCGCGGGACCCGCTCCTCCGTCTGCTGACCACCGGGATCCGCACGAGGAGGTTTGGGAATCAGAGGGCATGCACGCGCAAATCCTCCACGAGCAAATCTGCTTAGCGCGGCTCAGCCGTGTGAACGTCCCCCAGCAGGAGAACCGGACCCGGGACCAGGACCAGGACCAGGACCAGGCTGCGGGCAGGGGGGAACCGGGAGGAACCGGAGGAGGAGGAGGAGGACCTGTTAGAACCGGGCTATAATTACTACACCGGTCTGTTAGAACCGGGTCAGAACCGGGCTATAATTACTCACTTTAGCACAATGTTATGACTAAATCCATGTAAATGACTGATTGTCTTATTCCTGTTTAGATTCATGTTATTCCCTTTAGAATGATAGTTTTAAGTTCAACTCTCTGGCTCTGCCTCCTCTTCCTTCTACTCTTCCTCCTCTTCCTCCTCCTTCTCCTTTTCCTCCTCCTCTTCCTCTTCCCCCTCCTCCTCCTCCTCCTCCTCTTCCTCCTCCTCCTCCTCCTCCTCCTCTCTCTGTTACAGTAGATACTCGTCTTCAAGCTCAACATTCACACTTTCTTATCACATTCCACCAAAACCTGCATGAATTAGGACCTGGCCTGTTCCTGTCAGAGCTAACTGGCCAATAACACTTGTCCTCCTGTTGGAGGCCAGAGGAAAACTGTCCATCACCCCCAGAAATCCAGGCTCTTCCAGACTGAGATCCTCCGGGAACTCTCTGGGATTTTAAAGCTGTTTTTTGGGCCTTTAATATGTTTTGGGGGGGATTTAAACAGTTTTTTAAAGCTAACTGGCCAATAGCACTGGGTTGGGTCCAGTCCTCCTTTTCTAAGGGGCAGAACCAGAAATGTCCATCACACCCAGATTTGGGGCTCTTTGCTGACTGAGGTCCTCTGGGAGCTTTGTGGGTCAGAGCCCAGCTGGTTTACTTTACTGGGACCAGTAAAAGTCCTATC